CATGTGAAGTGTTAATATCACTGTATAATGCCTTGGTAAGGCCACACTTGGAATACTGCATTCAGCTTTCGTCGCCACGATGTAGAAAAGATGTGGAGACTCTAGAAAGAGTGCAGAGAAGAGCAACAAAAATGATTAGGGGGCTGGAGACTAAAACATATGAAGAACGGTTGCAGGAACTAGTTTAATGAAAAGGAGGACTAGGGGAGACATGATAGCAGTGTTCCAATATCTCAGGAGTTGCCACAAAGAAGAGGGAGTCAAACTTCTCCAAGGCACCTGAGAGTAGAACAAGAAGCAAAGGGTAGAAACTAATCAAGGAGAGAAGCAATTTAGAACTGAGGAGAAATTAGAACAATTAATCAGCTTGCCTCCAGAAGTTGTGAATGCCACAACACTGGAAGTCTTTCAGAAGATGTTGGATAGCCATTTATCTGGAATGGTATAGAGTTTCTTGCCTAGGCAGGGGGTTGGACTAGAAGACTTCCAAGGTCCCTTCCAACCCTGCTATTGTATTGTATTGTAGATCACTATTTATGTGCATCAGGAGTGCACAATCATTAACAAAAAGAGTTTCTTGAATGACTGGATGGAAATACTACAGGCTCTAATCTTCCTTTTTAGGGATGGTTGTTGAGGGGGTTGTTGGTATTCAGCTACAGGCAGCCCTAGATGAATACTTTAGGCTGAGGCACAGTAATGAAATAGCACTGGGTATGCTTACAGATGATCTCTGGGCTCATAAGAATGGTGCAACTATCTTGACCTTTCTGGATCTTTTGGCAATTTTTAATTTTATCAACCGTGATATCTTTCTAAGATGACATTAGGGGCTAAGAATGTTTCACAGGGGTTTCCCTTTTGCCCTGTCTGATTCCAGTCAGTGTTGGTGGTGCAGGAAAGGTCATACTCTAGGCCCCTGCAATAGAGGGGGAGCTTAGGACTCTCTTTTTTAACTTTTTCATGAAACCACTGGATGAGGTCATTGGCTGACATAGAGTCTGGTATCAGTATACTAATGTTATCAAGTTATACAACTCCGCTTCTGGGCAGGCAGATGAGGTTGTTGCGATTGTGACCAAGTGCCTTGAGGTGTGAGAATCCGGATGGGAAGGAATCAACTTCAACTCAAAACTGGCAAGACTATGTAGCTTTGAATCCCTCCCCCCCCCCCCCCGGGTCTGATAATATCCCATCTGTGATTCTGGGCAGCACTTTTGAAGACAGAGCTGGTGTACAATCTGGGGTCCTAGACTCACGGCTACTGCTTAAGGATGGCTAGGGAGGCATTTTTATAAGTTCCTCTTGTATGCCAATCACATCTTTTCCTGGTCCAAGAGACCTCACTCATAGTCACTGATGCAGAATGTGGAATGCCATTCTTCTTGAGATTTAATCGACTCCAGCCTGTTTAACCTTATATCTGGCCTTTTTCCCAGACTCTGGGCTAGAGTGAGGTCAGAGCAGGATGAGAATGCTCTGGGTTGCATCAAGATTTTTCTGTTTCAGGTTTTATTCAGGGATGTTTGTTTGTTTCTTTATATGGCTGTATATAGTTTCTATTGGTTGTAAGCAGACTTGGCTTTAAGATGGGCAATTATGGATATGTTTTAAGTAAATATGAGACGATCAATCAATTGATCCAGACAGTGATTATGCTTCTGTACTTTTTTAACATCTTATTGTCCACATTTGTTTAGTTCATGAAACACACATTGAAAGATACTTCTGCCATGGACCATATGTTTTCAAACACATTCCCTCTTTTTCTTAGGTTTACTTAGCTGAAATAACTGCAGACCATCAGACTTGTTGCAAGAGAAATGTCCATGGACGCAAGCTCAAAGAAATCAATAAGGTAACTTTGTAAATCGATTTCCTCAACATTACAGTACTAAAAATTTTGCATACAGGTAAGCCTTGATTTACAACAGCCATTTAGTGACAGTTCAAAGTTACAACGGTACTGAAAAAAAAGTGATTTAGGACCATTTGTCACACTTAGCAGCATCCACTTGATCACATGATCAAAATTTGAATGCTTCGCAACTGGTTCATATTTTTGATTGTTGCAATGTCTGGGGGCCATGTAATCAACTTTTGCGATCTTCTGACAAGCAAAATCAATCGGGAAGCCAGATTCACTTAACAGTCATTTTACTAACTTAATAACTATAGTGATTCACTTAACAACTGTGGCAAGAAAGGTCATAAAATTCATTTAATAAATATTTCACTTAGCAACATCAATTTTGGGATGAATTGTGGTCTTAAGTCAAGGACTACTAGTACTGGAGGAAGTGGAGGAACAAGCTGGGTTTAAGAATTTTTAAATGATCTTGAGAGGAGAAGCTGACATCGCAACGACACGACGTGCGATCTTGGAGTCCCAAGATTGCAGTCAATACTTTTGCCACTGGATGGTCCTTTCGGACTTAAACTGTCCCAAAGAGACGGTGATAGGGAAAAGTACGTCCTGCTGATCTCAGGGACACCCCAAAGAAGCTGATTGATCCAGGAGAATCTCTTTTTGACGGCGACAGAAGCGCAGCCATTGAAGCTGCTGAAGTTGGGACAGCTCCGGAACAGGAGGAAAACAGAAAGAGAAAGTGTGTCCATCTGGTGAGGAAATCTTATTATTATAAAAGAGACTATCTCCCAAAAAATTAAAGCTAAATTAAATTTGAAAACAGAAGAGAACAAGCAGTGAAATTAAACTACATTAGACAGTGTGTTATCCTTTTTATAAATTTTCTTTTACAGATGCAAATGTTTCCTATTCTTTAAATTGAATGGATTAGTTTTTCTTCTACTACTTTTTATATTCTTTTTTTTATACATATGGATTAAAATCTTTTCCCTTATTTTTATAATGCTGGATTGGATGGGGTTTTTTTTTGCTCCATTTAAGAATTTTGTTTTTTTTTAAGCCTAGAATATAAAGAAGATATAAAAGGAATACAAAGAGAGCTCTAATACCGGCGAGCATGGACGTAGCACTGCCTCTGCGAAGCTGGAGGCTTGGAAATATTGTCTTTTTTTTATACCTATGGATTAAAATCTTTTCCATTATTTTTATAATGCTGGATTGGATGGGGTTTTTTTTTGCTCCATTTAAGAATTTTGTTTTTTTTTAAGCCTAGAATAT